CATGTTCCTAAACACAATAAGGAAACAGTGGGCAGCGCCAACCTCCCTACCACTTCCTAGCAATGCGGAGAGGAAGCTATTTAACGTAGCAAGGGAGCTAGAGGGAACATTGGAGGTGCCGGTGGTGGACGAACCCATAGGTCCCCTGATATCGGACACGGCCATATCAGGAGATTTTGCTGAGGCTCTTAAAGCCGAGGACCGAAAGAGTGAGTCCAACTACAGGAGAACGCACCAGGCAATAGCTTGGGCTACCAGGGCGTCTACCTCCGCGTCCTTTTTCACCAGAGCCACACTTTGTTGGCTCCGTGAGCTACAGGGCCGGGTTCCCATGGAAGATATACGCACTCATCAGGAACTCAGCAAAATGGTAGCGGCCACGGAATATGCGTCGGACGCAACACTTTTAGCGACCAAGTTTTCAGCCAAGGCAATGGCGGCAAACAACACGAGCAGGCGCATCCTCTGGCTAAAGAACTGGCAGGCGGATACCAAATCCAAGTGGAAATTGGCTTCGGCTCCGTACCAAGGGGCAAAGCTGTTTGGTGAGGCACTAACGCCATACCTGACAGAGAACAAGGACAAGCGCAAGGTCCTTAAACACATGCTTAAAAGGCAGGACAAGAGACCCGGCTCCTGGGGAAGGAAACAATCCTTTCGTACGGAAGCCAGGGTCAACTACTTTCAAAATTCCCAACCCTTCCAAGCTAGACAGGATAGGGAAAGACAGGGGGACAGACAGAACACAAGACATAGGCAAACACAGGGAAGACGGCCCTTTCGGGGGAACAACCGCCCCTTCCGCCGTACCAGATGACTCCCGCCCAGACCTTCCCATAGGGGGCAGACTAGCAGGGTTTGCTCCCCAGTGGGAAGAGACCACCACGGACGTATGGGTCAGGAACACCATACGTCATGGTCTATCTCTAGAATTTCTCTCAAAGCCCCCGAACCGCTTCCGCCCGTGCCCCTGTCCCACAAACCCAACAAAGAGAAGGCTCATGAACGAGGCCGTTCAGCACCTTCTAAACATACGGGCCGTAGAGCCGGTGCCTATGAACCAGAGAGACCAGGGGTTTTATTCTATCCTCTTCGTGGTCCCAAAACCCTCGGGGGGTTGGAGAGCCGTTTTGGATTTGAAAAGGCTAAATTTCTACATAAAATACCGCAAATTCAAAATGCAGACACTACGCTCCATCCTTGGAAGCGTAAGGAAAGGGGATTTTCTGGCATCGATCGACCTCACGGAGGCATACTTGCACATCCCTATCTCTCTGGCTCACCGCCGCTTTCTACGGTTTGCCTACAGGGGGCACCATTTTCAATACAGGGCACTTCCATTCGGCCTGTCATCAGCGCCCAGGGTGTTCACCAAGATTCTGGCGGTTCTGGCAGCACAACTAAGAAACGTACCAGTCAGAGTCCAGTGCTACCTGGACGATATTCTAATCCAGTCATCGTCCGCCCAGCAGTCTCGGGCGGACCTAAAGTTAGTGATAAAAATGCTGCAGGACCACGGCTTCTCGGTGAACTTTCCAAAGAGCCATCTAACCCCAACTACGAGAATACTCCACCTGGGAGCGGTCATAGACACAAAGGAATGCAAGGTGTACCTATCACAGGAACGCCTCAGCAGCATAAAGAAAGCCGTAAAACAGGTAAGCCGCGGTCAGTCAGTGACGCTGGTCTGCCTCTCCCAGCTGCTAGGGAAGATGATATCGACCATAGCAATAGTTCCTTGGGCAAGGCTGCACTCAAGAGAACTGCAATGGTTCATGCTCCCGTTTCAGAGACAACAAATCAGTGCATCCCGGAAGAGGGTAGGCATACCTCTGAGAGTACGACACTCCCTCAGGTGGTGGCTATCTCCAGCTCTCCTCAGGGGGTCCCCCTTCAGGGAACCAGACAGAGTAGTAGTCACAACAGATGCGAGCTTATTCGGCTGGGGAGGCCACTTGGGGACCAAGTGGACACAGGGCCGCTGGTCAGCGGTGGATCTCCGACACAACATAAACTGGCTCGAGCTGCGGGCTATTCACCTAGCGTTAAGGCATTTTCACAGCAGCATAAAAGGCAGGCACGTACTGGTCCTGACGGACAACGTGACAGCCAAGGCCCACATAAACCGTCAGGGGGGCACACACTCTCGCTCGCTCTCGGCCGAGGCCCTCCTACTGGGGGCCTGGGCGGAACAAAATCTGGCCTCCATAAAGGCCGACCACATATCGGGGGAGGCAAACATCCAAGCAGATCTGTTGAGCAGATCAACAATAGATCACTCGGAGTGGCAACTACACCCGAGGATCTTCAGGGAGGTCTGTCACCGCTTCGGGCTTCCCCAGGTGGACCTTTTTGCCTCTCCTTCCAATGCCCACCTAACTCGCTTCTTCTCCCGATTCCCATCCAAGGGAGCAGAGCAGACGGACGCGTTACGGAGCCCATGGCCAAGGGGGCTCCTGTACGCGTTTCCACCCTTACCTCTCCTTCCGGCGGTAGTACGCAAGATTCTGCGGGAAAGGGCCGAGGTAATCCTTGTGGCCCCTTATTGGCCAAGGAGACCTTGGTTCGCAGACTTGAGGAGTCTCTCCCGCACGAATCCATGGCGGATTCCTCCGGAGAGGATCTCCCTCAAGCAGGGGGAGATCTCCCACCCAGAGCCACAATGGCTACAACTAGCCGTCTGGCTCTTGAACGGTCAATTTTAGCCAAGGGGGCTTGCTCACAGGGTGTAATTAGGGTCATACAGGCATCAAGGCGCCCCTCCACGAACCGTATCTACGAGGCCACGTGGAGAAGCTTCCAATCATGGTGCTCTAAACAGGAATTGTTACTCGAAGGGATCACAATTCCCAAGATCCTAGAATTTTTACTAGATGGCCTAGAGAGGGACCTCTCGCCAAACACACTGCGCAGGCAAATCGCCGCCCTCTCAACTATACTTTCTGCCAGCCCCGGTGAATCCTTGGGCAAGCATCCCTTAATACGATCCTTCCTCAAGGGGGCTGCAAACATCAGACCGCCAACCGTGCACAGGTATCCATCGTGGGAACTACCACGAGTACTACAAGCTCTTACCAGAGCGCCCTTCGAACCACTCAAAACATGTGACATTCGCTATCTGACCCATAAGGTAGCATTCTTGGTAGCCATCACGTCAGCTCGGCGGATATCCGAGTTAGCTTCTCTCTCAATGAGGAAGGACCTGTGCCATTTTCACAGGGACAAGGTAGTCCTAAGAATAGACCCTTCATTCATTCCAAAGGTCAACTCCCTTTTTCACAGATCACAGGAAATAGTCCTACCAGACTTCTGTCCAAACCCAGCTCATCCCCTGGAACAACAATGGCACACCTTGGACGTACGCAGGGCACTAAGACATTACATTTCACGCACAGCGGAATTCCGACGCTCGGAAGCGCTTTTCATATCCTTCCACCCTGCTACTAGGGGCCGGAAGGTCTCGTCCTCTACCATCGGTAGGTGGATTAGGGCATGCATCACGGGGGCATACCAGGCGGAGTCCTTGCAAGTCCCCAAGCATATCACAGCCCATTCCACAAGGAGTGCTGCCACCTCAGCAGCATGGGCCATGCAGGCTTCTATTGAAGAGGTATGCAGGGCAGCCACTTGGGCCTCGCCCTCTCCATTCATTCGTCATTACAAAATCGACAGGTACTCCTCTGCAGAGGCCTCCTTCGGTAGGAGGGTTCTCCAGCAGGTGCTAGACCAAAGTTGCACACGGGACCAGTCTATTCCCCAACCCAAGGGACAATAGGCTTTGGTATGTCCCACTGCGTGGATTATCCATCTCCAGTGCTGGAGAAGGGGCGTTGACTTACCTGAACGCCTTTTCTCAGCACGGAGATGGATAATCCACACCCACCCTTATAGACTAGAATAATAGGGTATATTTAGTGGAGCCAAAACGTCTTACTGTCAGTCAATGGCTGCGCTCGAGTCAAGACTAAAGGATCATGGTCCAAGACGGGGCGTGGCAACTTTGGCTGACTGATCTGATTGGCCAGGAATACAGTCTCAACCCACTGCGTGGATTATCCATCTCCGTGCTGAGAAAAGGCGTTCAGGTAAGTCAACGCCCCTTCCCGTTACAAGACCAGTGGAAGGTGATTTTGAGATCTCTCCACTGATGGCATAAGGCCAAAAGAAGAGATTCCACCTGGGAATATTTACAGTGAAATTCTGTAGTGCTAAGCCAGCATCTAACAACTTATGTATGCAGTTTGGGAATATGCTAATAATTTGAGAACAGAAAAAAATTGTGTGACTAATCGTAATAGTAATAATTGCAAAAGGCAGCTTTAGTTGGAACTGCAATGTTATTTCTTATGTTATTAAACAGTAACATCTGTCTGTCTTGGGTTTTGGTAAGGACTTGATAGGTGAACAAAAGTGCCAAATCCAGTATAAATATCTGGATGACTGAGTGCCCAAGCATAATGCTGTTAATTAAGTAATGAAATAATGAATTATTTTAATTTATTTTGGTTTTTTTTCACATTTTTCTAGGAAAACTTTCAGTTTTGCTTTTTTTCATAGGTATGCCTAGATACAAATGATCTCTTAATCCATGTTTTGTGGCTTGGCTTCATCAATATAAATATCCAGTTTTGAAAATATATTATTTATATTCATGTGAAATTGCAGATAGTTTTGTTTTCTTCTTTCCTAGTGTATCCAAAGTATAACCCCATGAATATGAATGAAGAAAAAAATCAGTTGTATCAACAGCTAAATAATTTTCTATCCTTGAATTTGTGATAGTTGATGATGAGTAGCTCTGACTTCTTGACAAGTCCAGATTAACACTGAAAGTAAATTTCTTTAAAGCAGAACTGTGGACCTTCCAGAATTTGTTATCTAGCAATCATGTTCACAGTTAAAGCAAGGAAACAGAACTCTAGCATTCTGAAATTCTACTTTCTTAAATCTTAAATTTCTTAAATCTAAGAAATCTTAAAATTTTTATCCCCATTATACAGATGTCGATCCTATGAAGATTGTTGTGGTTCAAGATGCTGCGTGAGAAGTTTGTCGATCCAGCGACTATGGTATTTTTGGTAAGTTGGTAAGCAACTAGCAAGGTTAATATGATATCCATGAAGCTTCTTTTGCAGTTAATTTGCTATGAAAATGAACTTAAGAGCCTAAGGCAGCACTCCACATCTGATGCTTTCTGTATCAGTTAAAGAAAAATTCCTGTATTACTAACTATGACAGATAGATTCAAGTAATTAATACAATCTGATACCTACCTTCATGTAAGTAAGCTTCATTCATTTCAATGGGCTATAGAATCCAATAAAGTATATGGGTATAACAAGAATAGAAGATTAAATCTGGAACAAGAGTCATAGTTCTCTTTGGGCATGTACAAGCTTAGAAGGAGTGAATAGCATCAAGGTAAGCATCTCTTTCACATCATGAAGGCTCTCTCTGGTCATCCCTTCTTCCTTCTGGATGCAGTCTCTAACTCCCTAAAGATCAGAAGATCTTTCTCTCCCTCTGACCAACCTGGGATTGAGCAATCCTCAAAGTTTAGACTAGATGGCTATTATGTGAATATGCAACAACTATTAGTTTCATTGAGATGTGGAAAGGTTGTGGAAAAAACTCTTAATGTATTTTCATGTCCAAAATGCTCAAATATTTGGCCAACTGGGGGAAGCTCTAGGGACCAAAAAACTAATGCTAAGCAAGTTGAAATTTATATACTCTACCTAAACAGTATTGAAGCATATTCAAAAAAATCTTTCCATTTCCTCTGAGCCATTTAGATTTATTGACCATTGGATTAATTACTTGTACTGGGGTCAGTAATTAACTATGCATTAAATTTTGTAAGTAACCAATTTTTTTTAACCTGTTTCTTTCTTTCTCTCTCTTTGTTTTGCTCAGGTTCCTTCTGATGATGGGAGTTTTATTTTGCTGTGGGGCTGGTTTCTTTATCCGAAGACGGATGTATCCTCCACCACTGGTTGATGAAACAACTTACAATGTGTCATTCACTCGACCGCCTAACTCCAGTACACCAGGTTAGAGATTACAATTGTCTTATCAGGTTTACCTCTATTGCTCAATAATATAGTAATTATTTATCTCAATAATTACTGTCATGTCCTCACTGATTTGATCGTAAGGTAATATAATGCATTACCTTAAGCAATCTGCCAGACACCTTAATTTCAAGGCAAAGTTTGTACCATGAATGAATGGTGTGACTACAAAGGATCGTACAAGTAATAAGTTAAAAAACAGATTGAAGGCCATCTGGCTATCTCAATGCAAGTTAAAGCCATAGATGTTCAACTTACATATCTCCAACAGAGTCCATCCAAAGCAAACAGATTTGCTATTTAAAATTTGCTATTAAATTTTTTTTCCCAATATATCACCAGAATGTAATAAAACTGAAGAAACAGTGGGCCATGTAATTAGCTATTGCAAGATCACAAAAACAACAGCACGACAAAGTAGCAACAATACTGCATTGGAATATATGCAAGAAAAAGCATTTGCCTGCAAACAAGAACTGCTGGGGCCACAAAATAGGCAAAATAATAAAAAACGAAGAAGCTAAATTGTTTTGAGACTTTTAAATTGAAATTTCATAGTTGGGGTGGGTGTTTAATGAAAAAGAAGATAAAAGCACAACTGTTTTAAATTACTTTTCCCATGGAATAAAATTATTATTATTTTTGTAATCAAAGAAATAACACTAACGTCTAAGAAACCCAAACACATCAAATAGTTATCAAGCCAGCCCCCTCAAAATGTAAATACATTCTTGTTCTATTATATTTTACACAAACTCACACATAGGATTAAAATGGCACACAGGAAATTATCTATTTTTCTCCTTGTAGTTATTCACATATTAAAATGCTTCATTGCATATTGTTGAATACAGGTAATCCCCGACTTACGAGCGCTCACTTAATGCTTTTTTAAAGTTATGTGATGAGCACCCTTTAGTGCTTACGAGCAAGTCCCGAAATTATGAATATTGCAGCACCACGGCAGTCGTTCACTCTTACGAGCGACCACAGTGGTCCTGCAACATTCACCCTGGTTATTCCCTTCCACCCCGCTCCTGCCCTGGGTCTCCCTAGGCACCAGTCCTTCAATACCCACCCTACGAAGATTGATATCCTTCATTTTCTTGGCTGCTCCAGGCCTTTGGTGCATTTGCAGAGAACGGAGGCCAAAGGTAATGCAAGATCACGTGAGATCAGTTGGGCGAGATTTCTCTCTACTGACCTCGCGAGATCTCATGGTACTTTAGGCCTCTGTTCTCTGCAACAGAGAATGGAACTAAAGCTGTTCTCTGCAACAAAGAATGGAACTAAAGCATGACACTTCCTCATGCCTCTGGAGGCTGGATCTGGATTCCGGAGGCCTTTTCCAGGCCGCAGGGAGGCCACAGAAGCATTCCCCGGCCTCAAATCCAGGTGGCAACAGCTGGAAAAGACCTCCAGAGCCCAGATCGGGCCGCGGCGGTGGCAAGCGCAGAAGCATCCCCTGGCCTCAGATCCAGGCAGCAGCAGGAACCATGGCAGAGAGGAGACAGATCTTTTCCAGGTGAGTCCAGCGCAGCAGGAAGAGATGGGGAAGCATACAGTATCTTAGTGGGTTTCATCACTAGGCCCTCCATGGCCTTCCCCACCCCAAGATATTTCATGTTTGCTTAATGAGCTGCATGTGTTTGTTTTAAAGATATTTTATTAGGTTTTATAAGGATAGGGAAGGGAAAAGGTCGATATAGGTATTGGGTAGGGTTCAGGAATGGGGTTAGAGTGAGGGTAGATACAGTAGTGGGGTTACTCCCAAAACAATTCTACGCTTTAGCAAGCAGACTGTTGTCCGGATACAAATATTAAGTAAGATTAATTAATATAATGCTAAACAGTTATAGTCACTAAGAATAACAATAATCATGAAAGTAATAGTTAATCAGTAAATATCATTCATCCTATTAAATTTCACAATCCTTTCTTGCTAGATCGTATTGCTAACCATTGATAAAAAATTTTCCCATGTTTTAAAATAAACTGAGTCTTCTTTCTCTTTAATCTCTAGAGTTAGTCTATCCATTTCTGCACATTTTAAGATTTTCATGATTATAATCTGGTCAGGTGGTAGATTTTCATTTTTCCAGAATTGGACAAATGCTATTCTCACAGCTTTCAATACATGTAATATTAAATATTCATTCTCTTTTCCATAATTAAATCCTAATATTCCTAACAAAAACAGTTCTGGCTTAAATTCTATCTGTATTTTAGTCATCTTTTCCACCTGCATGCATTTTAATGAGCAAGGGAGTGATCTTGTTCGAGATATGAGATTCACTCTATGAGTTTTCAAATTACGAGTGGAATGGCAGGCTCCATTACACTCATAACTCGAGGACTACCTGTACATAAATTTTCTTTTAATCAGGGTAAAAACAATTTGAATAGAAGAAAAGGGAAAATAAATTTAAATATAGCTTAAAAGTAAGCATGTACTAAACTAAATATAATTGAAGAGGCCATACCTTGAACAAGAAGAGATCTTTAAGCATATACAGTGTAATATATACTATATGCTTCAAATTCAAACATAGACTGTTATTTTGTCCATGCATTACTCTGATAGAAGATATATCTTTCTACTGTTGAATAAGCCACCAGAAATACCAGGTCCCAGTTATGTTATCTATGACAGATTTTAGATTTGTGGAATATAATTCAGAATTAAATGAATATCTGTAAATCATGAGAGGAGAGTGGTGAATTGATACCATCAATGATTTGAAGTGAGTCATCATGTCACATCATATAGGATGGTGTGTACTTTCAGAGAGGAGACTCTGAGCCCTACCAGTCAAAAGGTATCTTTTGTAACATTACTCACTTCTTTATTAGAATTTAAATATATAGGATAAAGAGTATGAAATTATTAGAGAATTATATTGTCCCAATAAAATCTGAGACCATAGCAAAGAAAAACAATAAAACTGTACAATAAAAACTTCATTGGTCAGCACTCACTTTTTCTGAGGGGTATCATTGCAGCAATGTTCTCTGGATAGAGCCATATTACCATGTAAGTGCCAGATAATTTTCCAATGAGTTCTGAAGAGTTTCTGAGAAATCCATTTGAATTTCAAAATGAAGGCAGCCTTTCTGCACAATATTCTAGTTTCTGTTTTATTTACTTTAGACATTCTGTGAACTGAACTTGGTTCGGTTTCACATCCTATTACATAGTCTTTGTCACAGCATATGTATGATAATTCATTAAATACTAAGTTGGATGGCTGATTCAAAAAATGGTGATACAGGAACGAATAGAAACAAAGCTTGTATATATAATATGGCAAGTGCAGCAATCTGAATATGAAATTAGTAGTTCAAAAAGAAAAGAAATATTGTCTCATTTCCAAGTTATCAAGAAAAAGGATCCTCTTATTTCAGATTGCGAAATCTGATTTTCTTGATGGGGTATTTTTTTATATTTAACATTCTCTAAAATATACAATATAAAAAGTCTTGTGAATAGCTTGAAAATCATCCAGAATTATTTGTTTAGACATGGTCACATTAATCAATTTCTGATATTTTCTATTATGTCTCTTTTTCAGGAGCCCAGCAGCCAGGAATGGCCTATTATGCAGATTCAGAAGAAATTATGATGAATCCTATGGCCATGAGTTACCATGTCCAACCTAAGTCTCCACAAATGAACCAAGTTTATCCCCCTCCACCTTCTTACTGCAACACCCCACCCCCATCATATGAGCAGGCTGTGAAATCTTCCACATAATCTCTTTATTGAAACCAGCAGGACCTTGGTCAAAAAGAAGATCAATTGTGAGCTAACTAAAGATTTCTCAGAACTCTACTATCCTTTGCTATTGTTCCAACTATAGAATAATTTGGACAATAATGATGGACTTGCAGCACAGGACAAATTAAGTTTTGACGTATTCAAAATAAGAGATTTTTGTATGCTTCCCTTCCCAAACCTATATTTAAATTCCCTTTGCTGACCTTTTTAATTTATTCTCTTTGTGATTTTGATGCATATCGTAACACATGTTTGAGGGAAAGTATGGTAGCAAGCACAAAATAATTTAAACCTCTAGGAAGATATTCTATCATTTTATAGATGAAAAAAGAAAAAAAAACGATGGACTGAAAACAGTTGAATTAATTGAAGCAAATGAACTTATTAATAAAGCTTAGACAAATAGTTGATAAAGGAAACTTTGGAGGAACTGTAGTACAATATGTGGAAAACCTTTCATGTCAGAATAAAATCCCTTTGTTTCACTAGCACCAACATTGGAGGGAAGAAGATTACAAAATCTCTTGTGTTAACAGTTTGTGGAAGATGGGCTGCCAAAAATAAGAACATGCATTTTTCCTTTTGGGAGTGCAAATCAGCAAATTGCTGATTTGGAATGGAAAGGAAAACGCTATTGAGGGTCAACAATAATTTGCCAAAAATAAAGTAATAAAAAGAAATATGTCTAGAAAATACTGCTTATGTAAAGAAAAGCTTTGAAGTTTTAATATTGATTCTGGGGATCTTTTTACAACCCTGTTTTGGCATATGTTGTTTTTATAGGTATTCCTAATTAATTAGGTGTGAAAGAAGCATCTCAAATAGGAGAACTCAATAAGGAGTCCTGGTTGGTGGCCTGATTACAAACGTGGACTTGCTTTTATATATGAGAATATGAGAATTGACTGTTAAACAAGTAGTCCTCGAGTTACAAATGTAATGGAGCCTGTCCATTACATTTGTAACACAAAAATTTGTAGGAGTGAATCTTTGAAAGTGATTCACTTCCTACTTTCGTCCATCCATTTGCTAATCAAATATGTGGGCGAATGCGCAGTTTGTTAAGTGCACATGAGGTATCTCAGGGTAGGCAAGGCCATGGAGGGCCTAGTGATGGAAAAGGCCCCCAAGGCCTCCCCGATCCACTAAAATCCTTCATGCTTCCCCCTCTCTTCCTGATGCGCTGGACTCACTTATCTTGCAAAATCTGTCTCCTCTTTGCTGCAGTTTCTTCTTGAGGGAGAGGAGAAAAGCTTTGAAATGCTTTTCACGCTGACAGTGGAAACTCCTGGGTGCCATGATATCACATGTCCACACACCCATTCTCTGCAAAAGAGATCATGGCCTCTGGAAACTTCCATTCTCTGAGAGGGAAGTATTTGCTTCGTTTGCATGCCTATGGAGCAAAGCGTGGAATCGGAGTTAGCTGGGCGCAGGAACCAATACTGCCCGGATGAGTGGCTTGCTTGTGTGCGCAGGCCTTAGTTTGAAGACAGGAATGAAGCCTTCAACTGAATGGTGAGACATCACGGGCCAGGTCCCTTGAACCTGCGTCCAAGCCGGCAGTGGAGGCAACTACCTGAGCAGCCATGATCCCCCCCCCCCCAGCCAGCCCTTCATCATACCCAACTTACTTCTTGCCTGGTCGGCCGGCTGGCACAAATTCTCACTGCTCTTCTCCTCCTCATCCTTCCCACTCAAGTGGGGGCAGCAGCTTGGGTTGCTTAGCTCCATCCAAGTGGAAGAAAGCAGAGGTGCAGCAGTAGGATTGCTCTCAGACAATAAGGCCCGGATGCACTGCTTGCTTGTGTGCAAATCGTTTTCAAATGCCAGATAGGCACTCATAAACTTTTTATCCGAAGGGAGACCTTGGGGAAACTGGATTCTCCGTCTGTGAGCAAATGGAGCAATTCAAAACAAAGCAACTTGCTTCATTTTGAACTACCCCTTTTGCTCACAGATGGAGAATCCAGTTTCCCCAAGGTCTCCCTTCAGATAAAAAGTTTATGATTGGCAGTGGCTTGGGTTTCTCGGCTCCATCTGAGTAGAAGAAAGCGGAGGTGCAGCAGCGGGATTGCTCTCAATAAGGCCAACGTATGAGAGCAAGCAGCACACCTGGGTCTTATTGTTTGTGAGCAATTCTGCTGCTGCACCTCTGCTTTCTTCCACTTGGACAAAGCCAAGAAACCCAGGCAGCTGCTGCTGCTTGAGTGGGAAGGGCAAGGAGGAGAAGAGCGGCAAGGATTTGTGCCAGCTGGCTGGCCAGGGAAGGAATAGGTCGGTTGGGGTGGATAGCTTGCTGGGGAGGGGGGATCATGGCCGCTCAAGTGGTTGCCACTGCTGCCAGCTTGGATGTGGGTGCAAGGGACCTAGCCCCAAGATGCCTCACCATTGTTCCTATCCTCAAACTAATGCCTACTCATGCAAGCGAGCCACTCACCTGGGCCACAGACAGCATTGGTTCCTGTGCCCTGACAACTCTGATTCCACACTTTGCCCCATAGGCATGCAAACAAAGCAAACACTTTCCCCCACAGAGAATGGAAGCTTCCGGGGGCCATGATCTCTTTTGCAGAGAATGGGTGTTTGAACTTGCACGATATTATAGCACCCAAGAGCTTCCATTGCCAGCGCAAAAAGCATTTCAAAGCTTTTCTCCTCTCCCTCAAAGGGAAAGAAACTGCGGCAGAAAGGAGACAGATTTTGCAAGGTAAGTGAGTCCGGGGTGGCAGAAAGGGAGGGGAAAACAGTTGTGAGGAATGGGGGGGGGAGTAGGGTGAATGTTGCAGAGCATCTCCAGTCATTCGTAAAGGTGAAGGACTGCCATGGTGCTGCAATATTTGTAATTTTGGGATTTACTCGTAAACAATAGGGGTGCTTGCCATGTAACTTCAAATGAGTATTACGTAAACGCTTGTAGCTCGGGGACTACTTGTATTTCCATTTTGTTTTCAGTTGTATACTCTCTTTTTTTGACATTGGAGACTTATTTCCACATGATTTTTTCCTGGGGGGTTTTACATGGTGAGTTGTTTATTCAAAGTGAAAATCTTATTGAAATTGAAATTTGTCAGATACTGAGAAATGATTGCAGGTTCTCCAGGATGTGATAAATGCATCATGTAGAATTCCACAGGTATAAATCTCATCAATCAAAACTATAAGTCTCTGTTTCCATAGATTTCACTCATTAGAAATGTCCTACATTTGGCTGCTGACAGCTCAGGTTCAAGACCTGAGCACTGCACAACAGAGTAAGCGTCTATTACTTGCCCCAACTCCTGGCCAACTAGCAGTTTGAAAGCATGTAAATGCAAGATACCACCTTGGTGAGAATGTAACAGTATTCCAAGTGCTTTGGCATATAATCCTGTTGGCCGCATGATCGTAGAAAATGTTTTCAGACAATGCCTGTTCCCTTGGCTAGAATCGGACATGACTGCATGGGAAACCTTTATCTTTATTGGCATTAAAAATATTTAGGAGCTCAGCTCCTAGATCTGTTCTCACTAAAAATAAATGAAACTTAAGAGATTACTAGGATGTATCTAGGCAGTTTTTCTTTTAGCTAGATCGCTGCAGTTAAACTGGGAAATTATAAATTCTTCCCTTTAATCTATAAATGATGTACAGCAGGGAAAACCAGATGATGCTATATGTATCCATCAATTCATCCATAACATTGGGGTTCCCAGTCTTAAAAATAATGGAAAATCTCTAGGCAATCTGTAGAACCTAAAGTAGTATCTGAGAGGCACCTCCATTCAGCACATGGACACCTTTGGAGAAAGTATTCAAGTGAGACTTTGCTTTTAATTAATTTAGTACCTTGAATGAATTATGTCAAATTTTATTGTGTATTGGTCAAATGAATATATTTTGAAATAAGTGAGAAATTCTGTGCATTTACATTTTAGACACATACCTAAGCTATTTTAAATGTTTCTGTACAGTATGCAAAGGAATTTGCATCACAGCTCTAATGCAAACATATATGGGCAATTTTTTTTAAAGAAGCAAGACTGCTGGATTGTTTTTTTCTCCCTGGCCATCTGTAATATATGAAACTTCCCTGAGGTTATAATCCTTAAAGATAGTAAGAAAGAAATTATTGCTATACAATTTCAGTGTCTTGCTTCTGAGTCAAGTGCAGTAAATTATTAAATTCTAGATAATTTGCATTTCATGAATTTCAGGTTTACTTTATTAGCATCCCATGAGTATTTAAACTGGGCTGCAATGGTGAGCCAATTTCATTCTTTAGTTTCGGATGTAGTCAAAGTTTTGAACAACTTTTAAATTATACATCTCAACTTTAGCCTTTAATCTGAAATAACTGTTTTATGTATTATTCCCTGAATGTTACTTTTAGTTTTAATTACAAGGGGCAATTGTTGTGCTAAGTTAGAAACTTTGGCAGGAACAAAGAAAATATAATAACATATATAATGTAATATCAACTGAGGATATCTGAAAACAGAAAGCACACTGTTCAGCCTACAGAACTTTCATTCATGGTGAAATAGTATTTGTCAAGTTATAGTGAAAATATATATTGAATGTAGGAAAGTAACAACTACTGAACTATAAAGAAGACATGAAGTCTGAAAAAATAATTGATGCCCCAGTTCTTGAAAAAATATTTTTATTGTATTTTTATTCAATATTTGAGAAAGCAACTATTATAAATGGAGTGGCTTTGCCGCAGAATAAACTTCAGTTAAATTCTTTCTGAAATTCACTGGTTTAAGAACACTAAGTAGCCAACCATAAACTGTGAAAAGTCATTAGCATAAATTGAGTTAATAGGAACTTTAGCTATTATCTTGCAAAATTAAGTCCTAAGGTTATCAAGAGGAGAAATGATCACATATTGAGCCTTTTCCCTTTACCAGATCATGATCCATTGATCAGGCTCCAGATTTTTTTCAGTGTAAAATAAGATTTCTCTGTTGAGGAAACAACAATTAAACTGAAGCTACTAAATCTGTAAAATTAGAATCTGCAGTTGTACAATTTTCAGTTAGAACAGAACAGAATAGAATAGAGCTGGAAGGACTTTGGAGGTCTTCTAGTCCAGCCCCCTGCTCAAGCAGGAGAACCTATATCTGTGGTGGCGAACCTATGGCACATGTGCCACAGGTGGCATGCAGAGCCCTCTCTGTAGACACGTGCACCATTGCCCTGTCCTAGGCCTTCAGCTAGGTTTTATAAAACCTTTTCACTTTAGGCGAACCTATGGCACGGGTGCCAGAGGCAGCACTCAGAGCCCTCTCTGTGGGCATGTGCGCCGTCGCCCCAGTCCTAGGCCTTCAGCTGGGTTTTATAAAACCTTTTCACTTTAGGCCTCCACCACCGTGTACAAAAAAAAAAGTTCAATCAGTCAATTTCAACTTCTCGCGGGAAAAAAAAAGATCTTTCAAAGTTGGAATTGATTGAACTTGTTAGTCCCACCCAGTGCCATTACCACCGAAGCCACGCCTATCCAATGGGCCACACCCACCCAATGGGACATGCCCACCAGGCACCCGATGATACATAAGTGGGTTTTGGGTTCCAGTTTGGCACTCAATCTCTAAAAGGTTCACCATCACTGACCTATACCATCTCAGATAGGTGATTGTCTAGTCTCTTCTTAAAAATCTCCAGTGATGGAGCACCCACGATTTCTGGAGGCAAGCTGTTTCACTGATTAATAGTCCTCACTG